ACAGCTGGAGTAAAGGACTGGCCATCACCCAAGGGTCAGGTGGCCCTGGCAGGGGGAGAATAAAGCTCAGGGTATGGAAAGATTCGGGGTGTCTATTTGAGGAGAGGTTACACTTTTGCTGCCATAGCTCCATGGCAAAGAATGCTGTGCTGCTATGTGTCACCTGTGCCTGAAGCTGGTAGATTATTTCTGTGCATAGCTGAGGCTAGGCTGTTTTGTTATTTTCTGTGTCCAAGTGGGTCAACAAGGCCCAGGAGCCGGAGGTTCTTGGTTGTTTTTGAACTTGCTGTTGCTGCTTTCCAAATTTCCCTTTCTTTTCATGTCCCCCCTTTTACCCTTTTTAGCTGTGTTTTTAGTCCCCATCACCCCTATGTGTTATTCTTCTAATAAAGCTATTTTTCCTGAAAGCTTGGGTTTGTCATATGCTGAATCCAGTGTCTGGCCCAGGGCTCTGGGACCAGGGAGATTCTGAGTGGGACTTCAGTCCAGGTGCCCACGGGAGTGGAGAATCCTGGTCGGCTTTTTGCTGCATATAGTTTTCACCTTTTCTTTATTTTCTCCTGTTCAGATAGTATGTTTCTCTGTTGGTCTTTTAGCATTCCTAGTCTAGGTATAAATTTCCCTTTGATTCTGGAAGAGGTCTCTTGTTTTTCTTTTTTTGTTCTTTTCTTCTATTTCTTTGCTTTGTTCATTGTAATAGTTCTTTTCATCTCTACGTGATAATCACTTAAAAGTTGCATTCAAAATTCTGACATTTTTCTGTCACATATGCTTCACCTACAACTGTGAATGTTTCTTCTGGCACCCATCGAGGCTTTTCTTTCTTTTTGCTTCATGGATTGTCTTCCTGCATTCTTCCTTAATAATGTCTCTGGTTTCCGTTCACATTTATTTTGGCTCATAGTTATTTAAGCTGAGTAATGCAAATTTATTCTTTATGTGGACTTTATTAAATTCCTCAAGAATTTTATTTAAGTAGTATTTTGGTACTTTATTTCTTTTAGTAATTCTTTTCAGCTTGATTCTCACTTTTTATATTAAGAGTTCATAGTTGCTACCACAATCTACTCCTGATCTTGTTTTGGCAGTGAGAATGCAAATTCTCCATCTCTTGCTTCCAATTACATAATCTGTTTGATTCTGCATTGGCCATCTGGTGATGTCCATGTATTTATAGTTATCGCGTTAGTTGCTTGCAGTATATATTTGTGTTGAACAGATGGTTGGCTTCATAACATTCTCTGAGTAATTCTCCTGCTTCATTTCTTACCAATTGGCCAAATTCTCATGTAACATTTGTTTCTGCTTTTTATCTTACTTTTGCATTCCAGTCACCTATGATTATCAGCATGTCTTGTTTGGGTGTGTTATCAAGTTCTTCTTCAACACCTACATAAAAGTTTTCAGTTTCTTCAGCATCTGTTGTTGAAGCATAGACCTTAATGTTGGTTATCTTGATAGGGTTTCCACAAATTCTGTTTGATATTATTCAGTCAGATTTTGCACTATAATGCCTTACTGTCTGTGCTTCATCTTGCCTCAGTATTAGAACACTCGGTTTCTTCTGACTTGTCATTTCTGGAGTAAAATACTTTGTGCTTTTCTGACTGAAAATGTCCATTCCAGTCCACTTTAGTCCATTCACTCCAATTACAGTGTTGTTTAACCATTCCACTTCTTGCTTTATGGGTTCCAGTTTGCCCTGATTCATACTTCTCACATTCCATGTTCCAATTTTATGTGTTGTACAGCACTGAACATTACATTCACCCCTGTTCATGTCAGCTACTAGACTTCCTTTTGGCTTTGATCTAGTTGCATCATTAGCAACAGCACTATTCTTACTTGTCCTTTGCTTTTCCCTATTAGCTTGTTGAGAGCCTTCCAACCTGGGGGTCTCATCTTCTGGCACTATCTCTTGTTACATTTTGGATTGTTTCATCATAGGGCTTTGAAGGTAAGTTTCAGATGTGACTTACCATTGCCTTCTTCTGCACAGTACTAGTCAGAGTTAGCTTGAGTGGTGCTATCTGTGAAAACTCCTTTGCCAATGTCACCTTTAGCAGCTGCTGCTGCCCAGTAGCTGCCCTTCAGAAGCTTCTCTGCCCCATCACCATTAGAGATACCTATTCTCTTCTGTGGATGTGACTATTTTTCCTGAAGAGGGTGGATGCATCTTAGTTTGGTGTCTCTGCATTGACCATTCAGCCTTGGGTGACCCTGCTAGGAGACCAGCCTAGTGAGACCATCTGGCATCCTGGTGGCATTGTTCTCAGCTTCTCTGACACTCTTAAAGGCCCTCACCCTGTGAAGATATACATCAAACAGGGGGATGTGCAGAAGGACACATTTTCAATCACTGATGTATCTAGAAACTTTGGAGAGCAGCTAGTCAATCTGAGAAAATCATACGGGGAAAGATAATCCAATAGTCTGATATGGTATAAGGCACCTTCATATATTCAACTAAGGTGTATGATGAGAATGATGATACCAGTCACATAAATATCACTATTGTTTGTAGTGGACCAGGATAGCCTACACCAAATAAGAAAAGAGATTAAATGGAAAATCATATCTAACTGGGAAGAAGTAGCTATGAAGCTTTCACCCAACCATCCATATCTTTGTTCTTCAGGTTGCCTGTTATATCCCATATTTACCATACTCACCCTTAGATGGCTGTCCTATCAGTTGCTCTTTTCCTTTGCCTCCAAGAATTACTGCTTTTCTCATCTTTACCATGCCCCTGTTCTCTTTCCCATCTCAACTACCATTGTTCAGCCTGTACTTATCTGTCTGTATTCTTACTCTTTTCTCCAGTCCTTGTACTGTACTGCTATTGCTCTGTCTTTCACTATTCCAGTCATTACCAGTTGAAACGGTCACCATGGCATCCCCCAAGTTTACATTCCTCCCCATTGCTATTATCATGAACAGTGTCATACCTCACTTAAATACTGGTCTATATTCAGCAAGAGGTGCATTTTTTAAATTAATTTGATTTATGTTGAAAGTATTGATTTTTGGTTGTATTGCCATTTAAGTGTTTTCATGTATATGTGTGTTGTTACTTAACTGAGACAACTATCCCTACTTTTTATTTTATACTATTTTAAGTTTTGAAGGTTCTCTATTATCTTTTATCATGTTGTCATTTTTGTGAAGTGAATAAAGAGCTTTGGCTGTTGGATAAGATAAACATTTAATAAATAACTTTATTATGCAACTTTTGGTAGCCCAAGAAATCCGCCTCACCTCCAGTATGAGAATCAATTTAATGAAGATTTACATACCACCATATCATTTTGAAAGTTCTCTTCCTAATAGTTTCTGCAAAGTCTTTTTCTCCTGCCTGCTTTCCATGTTTCCTCTCAAAGATTCTATTGAAACACTGCTCAACATTCTACCCTCTGTGTGGCTTGTTTTATTTTGTATTGCTGTGTTGGCAGCTTTCATGAGGTATGCTTGTCAATGTACTTCCTGTGCATTAGTGTAGTGTAGGTCTTCACTGTAAATCTAACCTTGAACAAAAACTCACTCATTATTTGTTGTGAACTGACCAGAGAGCTTTGACCATTTATTGGGCAGTATAGAAGTGAATTGAAATAGATACTAGTGGGCTTTAGGCAAACCACTTTTAGCCTGTGTCTCCTATGTGCAATATGAAGTAAATAGTACTATCCTGCATTACAGTATTATTGTAAAGTTTGAGATGTGAAATGTACTCTATGAATCGCTTGTTTCTGAGAAATAAAAATACCCAATTTTGAACGTTCCCTAATAGTTGTCGTACTAAATTTTTTTGGGGCGTTGTGGAGAACCAGTGTTAGATGAGTCATGAATTTAGTATGAGGAACATAGGTTCAATTTACTAAGTTACTGGCCCTTGAGGGAAAAGCAAGATGAAAATATATGAAATAATAATAAATTGCATGTGAGTGTATGGGCAGCACTGGAATGCATTAAACCTAACCTTTTCCTTTTGTAAGTCCTTTAAAGTGTGTCCTTTAAATTTTTAATAATTCCAAAGGTTGGTTAGTGTGTGTGTCATTTCTTTATACTTGGGAACAATCACTGGTATAACATAAAATACAAGCACGGTCGGTCACAGAAAGTGTTGTAGGGTTGAGGATGAGTGCCCCTGTTCAGGATGCTAGCAAGCTAGATACCCCATTCCGTTCTCTCAAACATACTCTAATGTGATGTCTCCCCATTTGTTCCCAAACAGGCAGGGTTCTATGCCCGCAGAGCATGATCAACCCATGTAGAATTTTTGGAGTTCTCCCTCTTAGGAGTTCTTTCTAACATTTTTTTTTAAATTCTGCAACCTTGGGGGTCTCCCAAACCTCCTGGTAGTTGTAGTTAAGTGGTACCTTTTAAACTATGTAAGTATATAAACTTGGACAATGTTTTTGCTTTTAGTGTATAGGATGAACTTTCAGTTCAGTCTTGTTCCCAGTTGTGGTTTTATGGCTCTCCTCCTCTTTGAGGCATTGCTATTTCTGTATAAGAGAGGACTGACGTGTAAGCAAATTGGAGATCATGAATATAGTCCTCCTCCTTCACAGGTCCACATCTACAACTAAGACCCCTCTCAAGGAAAACCCGAAAAGGAAGTGGCAGTGTTTTCTGCAACCTCTTTCAGTTACCTAAAAGCTGCTGTTAATTCTTCTTGAGTAGTTGATTTGAACTCAGGAGAATTTGTTTGAAAGGTGACACCTTTTGTATAAATACCATAGTTCTGATGTCTTGTATTGATTTCATGCCTTTTACAGCGTTCTGAGCCATTACTGATAATTGGACATTTGTAATGCTGTTAGCATATGGTCTGGCTCTGTGCTTTAAAACTCTGCTGGCACAGATAGTGTTTCATCGTTGGAAACTTCTGTGCTAATATTAGAGCATGGAAAGAACTAAACTGATTTGCCTGGTTTTGATGACGTTTCTTGTGAAGAAAATTGCAGCTGTTTATTTTTTATTTTCTTTTTTGGTTGCAGGCCACTTACCTCCAGAAGCAAGGTAAGCCGCAAAGTTTTTCTTGGCATGGTTTCACAATTAAATGTTTTGGTGTATTCAGAGGTACTAAAATAGTGAGCAGTGTTTACGTCCCATAACAGGTGTAGCATGAAATTTAAAAAGTATTCATTATAGGAATGCTGTTCTATTTTTCAGCTAATAAGTAAAGAAAAATCCTTGAGACATGAGAGTTTCATACGTTTAATAGTATCTGAAGATTTAAAGGAAAGAGGCGCTGCTGCTGGATATGATTCAGGTATCTCTTGTAACTTTTCAGAAAATACCTTTGAAAACAGCATGTCAGTGTTTGGAAAGCTTTCTTGTGGGAGAGCAATTATTAGACATTTCTAACTGAAACAAAATAAGATGGCAATATTTTATACTTTAGACTTCTTTTGAAAAGAACAGAATATATGTAGGCAGTAGACTTAAACAATCCCCTCCATTTCCCCTGCATTAAAATAATCTTTTCACCTTCCACACCTGTACCACTTGAGAATAAATAGCATGAAAATAGAGAAAGAGTTAAGGGAAATCCTGCATTTTGCTTCAAATCCTACTCCAGTTCTCCGGATTGTAACCATCATCTGGCTAATGTAAGCACTGGTGGGCATTAACTTCAGGGTTTAACAACCTGTATAATCATGAACAAAAATCCAGACTACAAAAGGGGAAAAAGATGCAACCCATTTCTGTTGAATAAGAAGATTGCAATCTTACATCCACTTACTCAGGAGTAAGTTCCTTTACATTCAATGAGACTTGCTTTTTAGTAACATAAAGGGTTACATAGTAAATCAATCAAAAGCTACCAGAAGAGAAGATAATTAGCCAACAGAGATACTCTTTGCTTTTATGTACAGTTGTCACCTTCCATAAAGGAGAATGACCAATTCCTCCAATTTTTAGGTGACAGTGAGACCTGGACCTTTTCTGGTCACCCCAGGACAAGGCTGCACTGTTTTGGGTTTTTTTTTTTTTTTTTGGAACTGATTGACCAGGAGCCCTTTTTGAATATCTTAGCATCATCTTGTCTTTATCAAAACAACTGGAACTGGTAAAGATAGTTCTTGTTTAGAGACAGAAAGTTCTTGCTCTGTCTGGTGGCTGCTTCTCTGATACTATTTTAAGCAAAGCCGTGTACAAAAATGCAAACCACTCCCCATGCTATGCTGCAATAGTGAGCCCCTCCAAATGATGTAATAGTGTCAGCAAAGCAATATAGTAAGTTTAGCAGAACTCTTTACAGTTCCTTGTGAGTGAATTCATAAAATTTGAGCAATACAGCCTGTAGATACAATCCTGTTTAGATCTCAAGCAACATCTTAAGCCATTTCTGCTCCTCAGTAATACCTTTCCTTCTCTCTTCATGCTCCTGTCCCTTGCCTCCTGCTAATGTCAGCAGCTGTGAGTTATTTATATTTGTCTCATCACATCAGCAGATGTTCATTCCCATGCAGGCATTGATCTGCCGACAAAGACTTTGCCCTACACTGTGTGTACATAGAGCTCTTTCTAGATAGTACACTTCCTTACAGCCAGGCCCTTGTCAACCAGACAGTACTTCTCCCATAGCCACACACACTTGCAAGTGGAACCATGAAAGGCCTCTTTGCTGCAATGCACAGTATACTGCTTTTTGCTCTAGAAGCATGATATACATTACTGATGAGAAGAGTTTCAAGTTCTCACAATATATCTTGTCACCGAAAAAGTAATTTCTAAAGTGCATTTTAATGCTTGTTCACTGGAAATATCAAAAGATGTTCCCCTAAACTTAATCACGGCTATCTTAAGCTGCGTTCTCATGTGACCTTTCAGGAAGTTAGTTCTTTTCATGCACACGTTCCATGTATCGTGAGTCACTGTAACTTACAACAAATATGATATGGAAATCTCTAAGTATTATGTGGAAATTCTCTTGAGACTTTTGTAGTTGCATTCTATTGCTGATCATTTTCTTCTATACTAGCTATCTTACTGCTTAGGCAGGACTTTTCATGATACTAAATCTTGGACTTAAAAAAAAAACATCTGAGATACAGTAGGGTAAGACACCAACCAATCAGTCTGCAATTTGGACAAAAGGAAATTTAAATCTTGTATTCCAACAGAATATTCACTCCATAGACCATATCAGAGCTATGTGTTTAGCCTGAAAAAAGAAAGAGAATTTATATAAGGAGTAACTTTTGCATTTAAAATTGAGCCAGATTTCTGCACAGTGTTTCTGCACAGTGTTTGTGAAAGTTTGCTTAAGATATTTCCAATAAACAATTTGAATGTCTTAATATTCCATCATTATATGATGTTTAAGTATGTTTAAAATGTGTCATGCTAATGCAACTCAGAGAGAATGTTGCAAATTTTGCTAGCTTATGTATATTCTTTAACATTAATCTCAAGGAGATAGAGTAAAAAGGTGATTTAACATCCATGTCCATTTAATCTTTGCTACCTCGATTGTGGCAGTCAACAATGGTTCCTGTTACAATGTGGACATATCTAATAGGAGGACTCAGTCAAGAGAAACAGAAGAAAGTCACAGTTTTAAATTTAACACTTTCGATAAAAGTTGTGAGTGTGTCTGTTTCCTTTTTTAATTCCAAGAGTTTTTTTTAACTCAATATCCAAAACTGAGAGTGAGCTTATACATAGGCATTCATGGGCCTGTGTCTGAGAGTATTACACACTCTTGATTAACTCTTGATTCATAGTAGGTAAAGCAAAGGTTGTTTAAGCTTCAAATAACCCACGGTGGCTAGGTTCAAATGACTTGGCCCAGCTCCCAGTTGCCTATATTGGTTGTTGTATATTCAGAATAATCCATGGTGCCCCAGCCTGGCTGTACAAACCAGTCCATTTGTCCCCCTTTTAAATGTTTTGAGCAGGGGTAGAGAAGGGGCAAAAGCCCACGAGAAAAGTCATTGAGGGAGTTGAATCTAGCAGTCTGTGGAGCCAGACCCAAACATGGGTAGAGCCTCCTGTATTTTTTACTGGTTCTGCCACCCCCATTTCTCTTTCTGCCTCCAGTCAGTGTCATCCCTACCACACTTTCCTGCCCAGGCAAGGACTATACAAAAGAATCAGCTTTCCCTGCTCAAACAGGGAGAGAACCATCCCTGCCTTGTCAAGAATGCCCTCTGAAAGTGCAGATCCTCTCAAGTGGAGAGGATCTTCTTAACTGGGAAGGGGGGCACCCACATGCACATATGCAGGGACACCCTTGGAAAACCTCCATCTCTGGCCAAAGCCCTTCTCAAAGCACATGGCTCTCCGCTGCTTAAGTGGCAAAAGTGCTGGGATTCCCTGGGCTTCATATAATTCAGCTGCAGGCTACATTTAGCTCAAGTATATGCATTCCTGAACACTGGTTTATAGTAGTCTATATTCTTGTTGTATAGAACACTTAAAAGGGAAATTAAGACACATGTTAGCGAAGTACCAAAAACGCTTTTCTTCAGCACAGTTTTCAGGCATGCCTTGCATTTTTTAAACATCAGTAAATAACAAAATTAGCTACTTCCCTGTCCTAGATACATTTAGTGTTATATGCCTAAAAATTACTGAAACATACCCAATGCTGCCAGAGAGGAATTCACTCAGAACATTAATGAGTAATGCCAACAGATTACTTTTTTTTTCTCTCCTTAGAATGCTGATACACTTAAATGATTGGATCTCTTTTCTCTTGCATTTAGATCTACGAAACAACCCTGGCTTTGGACCAGAGAAGGAATATCATCTTAAAAAGAGCCAGAGGAGTGAGAGCTTCCAACCAGAAAGCTATCATACACTTAAGGAGAAGGCTAGTCTTCAGCTGACTGTGGGGAAGGACCGTATGGAGGAGGAGCGCTGCAGTGATGAATCAACACTGGAGCTACCCACCCAGTCCACAGGGACGCTAGGCACGCCTTGCTCTGGCTGTTTATCTTCTAGGGATGCTAGCAAAGATGACAGTCTGCAGCAAAAAGGACAGTTCTCTGAGGATGTAGCAAAAATAGAAGCAACTGTTGAAGTGTTTACAGCAAAGAGCTCTACACAGCTGATGGTAGACACACTGATTTTGACAGATGCTGATTATATACCTCCTGATTTGATTTCCTCAGATGAAAATGTTCAGTCTGGAAGAAACTTTCTTAGGTCAAAACACTGTTCTGGCTCTGTTGCAATTTCTGGTAGCCTGTTGGGAAGCAGCATATTAAGCCAACAGCAGCAGCAGCAACCTAATTATGGAAATGGTAGAAAATCTGTGCAAGACAAAACATCAGGTGTCAGTGGAAATGTGCAGTCTGAAAGTAATGTGTCTGAAGAGGCCAGGGATGCATACAAAAGGATACAAGAGGAAGCAGCAGTACTGGAAGAAGAATGTGAAAGTGAAGAACCAGAAGACTTCTTTGTTCAGTTTTTAAAAGAGAGTATAAAAGGCAGAGAAGAGTCTCTTAAATTCTTAGAAAGCCAAGGGCACTCTGAAAGTCTTCCAACTGAACAAGCACTTTATAGTTCATTGGAAAGTTATTCATTGGATGAAAGCTTTTCTTCACTTGATGAACTTGCAAAACGGATAGAAATTGCAGAGGTAAATACTTGTAAAAATAACTTTCAATTTTGCTTACATTATTTGTGGCTAATATATTTGTCTTCTCATCTTACGTTTGCATGAAAAATCATAGAAGTATTTTTTCATGATATTTCTGTGTTTTTCCACATGTTTAAACTTCACTTTGAAAAATATTCTCATATTTTCCCCAAAAGAAGGCATGTTTAGCAGGATGTGTCAACACTTTTCTCAATATGTTCTTATATTTCATAAGAAAAATGTTTTTCTGACAACTAATTGTTAAGAAAAGAGAGAAATATTGTACAGTATATCTTAAAAGGCCGTGTCTTTGCTACTGTAATCAAATGAGAACTTTGGGCAGCATGAAAAAGCCTCCTGATTAGTAATACTTTCCAATTCCTGACCACAAAATATTCTGTTGTTTAAACTGAGGTAAACAGGAACCATTCACTTAAAGAATTATGGCCAACTGGTGAACAACAATTGTGAATGCACTCCTCCATGAAAATATATTTGAAATGCCATTACTTTTCTAAACTGAGTGGAGAGAAAATAGACTGAATGACTTAGCAAATGTTTTAATCCATCTGACTGAACAGGTGCAATAGGACTGTGGCCTGAAAAGCCTGTGTACAGGTCACTTTTAGGGCACTTGTTATTGCTGTTCTGAAGCACATGTGCCAGCATCAGTTAAAGATTAAGATAGAACACACCATACTTTTATAGCTGACTGGCCTCTTTAAGGTCACAAGAAACCTATAAGGTTTCTGGGCATGTTAATTAAGTATTCAAGGATGCTGTCCAGAGAAAGCTATCTCTTACAGATTATACACTGATCTGGAAGAGATTTCCTTATAGGTTTCTCCTTCTCTTCAAAGCCTTCTGAAGGCAAGAAGCAGTTGTATCAAAAAGTCTTTTCTTTATAATATTGAATACAGTTTAGAGGTATTTGGAACACAGTGTTTATCCTTAAAATTTATCAGGAATATTTTAAGCATCCTTTAAAAAAAGATATTTCAGTCTTCCAAATTTCTTGCTATATTTGAGAATTAACATACAGACCCATTTTCCTCTTATATCTGAAGGAAATGTATTATCAGTTGCTTCAAAAATCCACTCAAAAGTTGCATGAACTCCTATAGCTTTAAGTGCTTAGAGGGAATCCAGTTATGACCTTAACCCTGACACATTAGTTCATCAAAAGACAATGTACTGTTGCCACATTAAGTAGGATGTACACTAAGAGTAGGGGAGGTGGCAAGTTTGTGACAAGTATATAGTATTTCTTAAAATGGAACAAAATGCAAATGGAGGTCATGTAAAAAGGCCTTTAAAATAATGTTGATAGAATGGCTAGTTGTCAGGGCATCTAGTTTGTTGAACATAGCTTAAAGCAGAGATTTTCCATGGGAGCCTCACTGAATACTGAAATGAATTAAAATATACAAACATCTTTGTACTTTGGTTTTACTGTAGCAAAAATACAAAGCTTTTGATTTGTAGTGATTAGTGACTGTGTAGATTCCTGCAATACTATTTTTAATTCATATATGCCCCAATCTTGGAGAAGGGAATGGACAAGCAAATTTTGAAACTTTCTTAAAGCACAAATTATCATTTCAAGAGCTGAGGCAATCTGCAAAATATCTTTAAAATCCTTTAAAATTAAAGGAAAGATATTCATGATTCTAGTGCCTCCTGCCTTTTAACAAAAAGATAAGAAAACATTTTAGTTCTCTAAGGCAGCCAAGTTGTTTGTACAGTTTTCATGCCTACTTAGTATGAGTGGGCTCTACTATTTCCTTTTTTCCATTACAAGTGAATATTGTGTCTGTGCACATGGGCTGCACAAAGTTTGATTTATTGTTCTTTACAACTCAATACATGTTAATGTTCTGTTTAAAAATGTCACCTGAAAAAAATCAGTATTCATAAATGTACCTAGAATACAATGTATTGTATTCATTTATTCAGAATACATCTTTTGGACTCTGCTGCTTGAATGCTATTTACATCCTTATTTTACATTTATGGTAAGAGGACAGGAGCTGATGATACAATTTTCTTACGGGAAAGCTTAAGTAATTCCTTGCTCTGGTTTACTGTTTTTGAGGCGCCAAGTTCTTCACAGGCAGACTTTGGTCTCTGAATAAGCACAGAACGTAGCTTGCATCATTCAATAGCAATCTCTCCAAACCAAATATGGTGTAATACTGGCTGTCTCTAGAGGGAGCTTGTTCCCTAGGCTGTGTAAGCGGGATGCGTGAGCTCCAGAGATGTATAAATCTGTAGAAAACAAAGGGGATGGGATGGAATTTGTGTTTGTATTAGAGCAGAGCTGCATCTTGTATTAAGCAAGACTGTAAACTGTTCTGGACTGCCTGCCATTACTACACATAGCAGAGGAAGGGAGAACTCCAGCAACTTTGCACTAGGTCCTTGCTCATATTTATGAGAGATTTAATATTTTATTCTGATCTGAATTGCAAGAATTAGGGCTGGCATCTGGAATCAGGATCATTGGGCACCTGCCAAGACCAGCAGCTCAGCAGGGAGGCTCACCAATAACTGCAAAGCCTGGCTTACTTTTTCCTCTTTGCTGTCCTGTCTGTTCACCTGTTCTCCAAGCATGTGAGCAGTGGTGAAAGGAAGGAGAAATGGCATCAATCTCTACTATGTTGCCTTTTCTTCCGGGCAGTTGGATGGAGGAAGGGAGCAGCAACAGCATGGAGTTGGCTCCATTCAGGGAGGAACCCACTTGAAAGTTATCTCACCCAGGAGCCCCCACAAAGACCTATTCTGTGTGCATCCACAGAGACCTAGTCCATTGCTCAGTGTTTCTTGTTTTAAAAAGTTGGCTTTTATATAGAAAGAAAGAAAGAAAGTTTCTTGATTAATATTAAACACAATGTCAGTAAATATTCTTTTGCCATTTTGATAGATAATTTGACCTTTTACTAGACCTCATGCTTGATTAGTTCTGGATTCTGCATGAAGCACTGGCTGTTGTGTGCTTTGTCAGAATAAGTCCCATGACTTGGCATATCAGTTAATCTATGGAAAATAGTATCTATATATAGCTTTCTGAAAGCAAACCTTTGAATGATGTGATCAGTGGAAGTCAGAAATCCAAAAGCACAGTCATCTTTTAATACAAATAGTCTATGAAATAAATCTGTTCTCTTTGCAAGCCAAGCCTATGCATATATGCTTAGGAATGAGCTTCATGGTGTCCAGTTGGGCTCACCCCAATGGGTAAGATTATAGACTCCATAATGTATATACACTATGGCTACCTGTGGCATCAACACTTATACATTTTATGTTATGTGTGTGTGTTTAAAAATGGGAGGTAGTGATGAAATGGAGGGTAGTAATGAACCACTGAAAGTGGAAACTCTGTCTTCAAATAAATGGATACCAAATGCACATTTTCATTTGGGGCAGCCACTTGGAACCCCATGCTCACTGTAAACATCTAGTGCTGGGGGTTGCCATCTTCTAATCAGGCTTTACATTGTTATGTACTTCAGAAAACATTGATCAGTATTTTTATCTAGCTTGACCAAATAACATCATAATAGTGGTAGCAGCTGCTATATTTATACAATGACAATCATAACTGTTGAATAATTCATAAAGTATTGTTAATGGGTTTGTTAATATAGCATAAAAATGTCATCCTTTCAGAGAGAAGATACTAGCATCTCTATTTTGAGTACTTGTGCTTTTAACAGTTCAGTTTATTATTGATTGTATTTTAGCTATTTTGTTTACAAAACTCTTATTCTAAAATAATTCGTAGGCATTATACAAGTAGGCCTTGCAACTTTATATTTTTGTTTCAATATTGCATCTCATGTTGTGCCCTGATACACTCCCAGCACAGGATCAAATAGACGCTTAATATTCTTTTCATTTGTACTGGGATCCAGCTTCCAACCTTTACATTAGAGCTGCAGCAGTCTGTATGAAGCAGTGACCACTGGCTTCCACCAGTGGAAAGAAAGGGAAGCAGCTTCTGATTCCCCCTCATCCCTATATCCACTTGGCCCCACTGAAAATTGCCTGCAGAAAGACAGAGACTCCTTCAAAGCAGTTCTGCAGGAGAAGGGAGGAATCTGCAAAAGTTCACTTTCCTTTTGCCAGTAGGATCTCACCATTAGGTCACATGGCTCTTGAGATAGAAAGAGGTCTTTCATTTTCAGAAGACAAAGTCTTGAAGCCTGCCTATGGATTTATACAAACAAGTTAAAGTGAGCCCCACAGTCTTTTCAGGATTATCTACCTATAAAGGATTGAGAGAAAGCATGATAGTTTGCTATAGTTGTGATATCTTGCTGTTTGCTGTATCCCCTTTCAGTGATAGATAAAGTGCTCCCTCATAGCTGTGGAAAACAATCTCACGAGAATTAAATGTTCCTGAACATGTCCAAGTTAGTGGTCTGGTTCACACAACATGGCAACCCACCATGGGTGAACGGCCATGGTGAGTAGCCATGTTGTGTGAACCCAGCATGGTTTCTGCAGGGTAGCTTCTTTTTCATCAAGAAGCCACCCTGAGAACCCATGATTTCTGTTAGGCTTGATAATATCCATTGTTGCTTGTTGCGTTGTCTGAACCTGGTGGAGTGGTTTTATTAGGAAAGGTTAGAAAGCTACCTGGCCAGGAAAAAAAGCCATGCCACTTGCTATTGGTGATCTCATCAGTTACTTCCCTCCTACTGTAGCTGAAATGGCATTGTTCATCACTTATTTCCCAGCATTTTTAAATAGTTTGGTGTCTCTAAAGCACAACAGGAGTCTTAATTCTTTGCTATTATTTTGGCAGGCTTTCTGACATAAGTATTGACAAGGTTGCCCATCAGCTAATTAGCACAGTTGCAGAGGACCAAGGGAGAAATAATGGAAAGGAAGGGCCTGGCAGGTCAGAAGCAGGAGAAATGGTAGGGAAGGGAGAAACCAGAGGAGGAAGAAAATATTTTCCCCTTGGCAATGTGATCTTCTTGATTTTAAGTGTTGAACTAACAGTTCTACATGTCCTCCACATTTTCAACTGTTCCCTGACTCCTCAGCTACTCCAGAAAGGGAAGATAATACTCCTCCCCACATATACCTTTTTGGAGTGCTACTGCAGTGTTTACTGTGGTCCCTGACAATTTTTTTTAACCACAGAAATGTATGCAAATTTAACAGCTGGGAGGTAAATAGAGTGAGGATCTGCACACTTTCATTAACTATTTTGTTACTGCAGGTGCCCACATTTCCACTTCATTTACTTCCTGGCCCTTAAATTGGTGCAAATTTCCCCCTTTTTACTTAAATTTCTGTGAATTTCTGTCTTGTTTTTCTTTTTTTTCTTTTTTAAGAACTGCCAGGGAATTGTGGTAAATGCAGCAGTAAGCTGCTCAGAAAAGAACCAGGACAAGTGAGAAATTAATATCTCCCTTTCTGGAGAATCAGAACACGTTGAAAACATTGAGGACACTGAGAATTGTCAGTTCAACATATAAAACCAAGAGGATCACATAGCTGAGGAGGAGAGATTGCCCCTCCCCTCTTTTTGTGTGCCTTAAGTTCTTGCTCCCCCCCCCTTTTTTTTTTTTGAACTGGTGCTTTTCAGTTGACAACTTTGCAATTGGGCCATAGCCACTGTGCATGTATTTGCCTGTATGCTTTTCACTTTGTCAATCCCATTGACAACTGAAGCAGACAAGGAAACTGATCAGGCAACACCGCACATTTCAGACAGCCATTAGTGTACACTTGCAGATTAGCAAAATAATAATAAAAATATTACAAGTGCAGTTGCACAAACTTTAGGAGCAGAAAGAGAATGTAAAAGTGTTCTTTCGAGGCTCTGAGAAAAAAACAGTGATGAATGAAAAGGGGTAGCAAACAAAGCATGGAGGTGGAGAAAAGTTGGGGTCTGCCACAGAAAGCACTGAAGTATGTACAAACCTGGCTGAAGAACTGAGGAAGAAGAATAATCCAACATCATGTGCAAATGTACCCAGTAAGTTCATCTCATCAAATTTCACTGCAAAATCTGAAGATTTCCTGCCAGAGGTAAAATGGGAAAAACTGTTCTTTACAGTTTATATTGAAACTAGTCAATCCCAGCTCTTTTGTGTTGTTATATGTAGCATCACATAATGTATAATTATAAGATAATGAAATTTAAAGCCACACATACTTTCTTAATACTGAATCCTTAAAATAATCTATTTTATAATTCTTGTTAGACTATTCCTGCAGAGGGGCTTGTGTCCATATTAAAGAAAAGAGATGACAGTGAAGGAAAAACACTTGCTCAAATCCAGCAGAAACAGTCTAAAAGAAGAGTGAGATTCCAAGAAATGGAAGACACATTAGATCAAGGTATTCTGCTTCTTTTTTTTCTTCCTTTTCTCCCCAAAGCACATACATGGGATATGAATACAGCAACCATGCTCTATTGTCATAGCTGACCCTATACTAAAACCAAATGCTGCTTTCTCCAATCTTAAAAAAAAACCCAGCCAGAGTGATATATGGCTCCCTGAAGATCTGAGAATATATGTGCTTGCACAGAACCAAAAAAAAAAGGGAAAAGCATGACCCCATTTGCACAGTTTTTAAGGCCCAAAAAGTAATTTTTTAAAGAGGACTGCCAACAAGATAAGGATGTTGCCAAATCTCGGTGCAGTGTCAACACTTGACAACAGAGGAAGGTTGATGGTGGCAGACCTAGCAAGATTATGAGGAGTAGGCAGCAGGGTTTTTTGTCACTTGGGAGGTAGTGTTCTTGCCATTTTAAACAACACATATCAGAGCAACTCTGCTAGGTTCAGATGTCAAGACAAGCTAGCTTGAAATCAAGTAATCCCAAACATCCCTACTACATGCTTGTTTGTGATAACCAACGATAGAAAAGCTGTATCATGCTAGGCTATCCTGCAGTCACAGTGAGAACCCCCTGTAGCTTAATGTAACATCTGAACCAGAAAAAGACCTTTTCATAATAGTAATTTATATTTATTTGGGCAATGGGAAATCAAATTACAAGAACTGATTAAAAGCAGAATGAGGAATAAGAATAGTAAAAGAATACATTTTAATTTTTCCAATGGATAGCTAAAATTTTATGGTGCATGTTTTCTTGTATGAAGTAACTTTTTCAACAGCAACTCTTGTTGCTATTTGCTGCTAGAAATCCCAGTTTTAAAATGGCAACTTTATTTAACTTAGTTCTGTTTTGACAGAGGATTTGAACTTTGTTTTTTTATGGTTTTTCCATTTGTTTAGTCCTTTCAAATAAGATGAAGTATTTCAGTTAACTGTGATTTCATTGACTTTGTATCATGTATCTTGCATTCACAGAGGAAGTTGGAGGTGGTTCTTGTGTTCTGCTGATCTTACTGTGCATAGCAACTGTATTTCTTAGCATTGGAGGAACTGCACTGTACTGCACATTAGGTGATGCAGAATCCCCAGTATGTACTGACTTTTCAGCAAATGTGGACTTTTATTATACCCGAATACTCCAGGGTATTGAAGAACTTAAGCACTGGATATCCTTCTCATAAAGGAAATGAAGATGAACAATTTGTTGACAGTTGCTCAAGAAAAAATATTACTTCAGGCTTATTATAACATGACACCTTCAGAAGAGGTACAAGTCGTATGTAGGAACTTATTTCCAGTAATCAGGAATATATTGATAGGATTCATATTGAGTTATGAGGCAACATGAGAGACTGATAAACAAATTGTCCTAATGTTCACCTTTTGAGATGCTTTCAACAGCCATCTATCGTCAATCTTGCTTTGAAGAGTCAGCTATCTGCTAACCTTAAGGAAATTATGAAAAAGGTGATCACCTTCCATAGAGTTTCCAGTTCTCATACATTCATAAGCAATCTATGTAAGTGTGTACAAGACTTGATTTATTTTTTCAGCTGATCATGCAACAATATTGCAACTCCAACTATCATGCATTAACTCCATGGTTTATGGAAATTTATCTTATTTGGCTGTAATTAATGTCTAATTTTTAAAAATTGTCCTAGTGAGTTGTGTAAAAATTGGGATGGTGCCACATAAATGACAGCCCACAATCTAAATGCTGGTTAATTGCTTTGCATTTCAGAATATAGCAACTGTAATAAGTGATGCATCCATCGCGTCATAACATGGCCTTGGCAAACCATGCAAAGTTTTAAAAATGGTGAATTCCTCAAAAGTGGTGTTTTAAAAAATACACAGAACAAAAAGGGACATTTTAATAAATTTTACTGTTAATAATAAACTGTATTACCCACATCCCTTCAAAAGGGACCATTTTACCCATTTTATTGTTTAGATGTCCATCTATGATGCTTTGAATATTCATCTAAAATGTAATGTGTGTATGCAACAATTTGCAAACACTGGCATCATACAGGAACATTTGTCAGGAGCCATGTTTGGCTATAAATTCTGTTGATGGCTAACCTACATCTATGTAATGAGCAAAATGGGCCAGAAACAATATCAAAATTCCCCTTCACTGAAATAAATCTACTGATTTCTGTGTAACCAGATTGTGAAGAATATGCTGAACTCAGAAAGATCATATATCCTGATAAGTATATGCAACTATCAGTTAAATACTTGAGATAAATGCCTCAAAATGATTAAATTAAAAGAATTGAAATCTAACTTTGCTCCTCAGACCCTCAGTAACAGGCACTGTGACCCAGTTATGCAGTTGCATCAGCAACTCCTTCCGACTATGGAGCTAGAATTCTATCTCCCTCATGATCCAGCACTTGTTTGTTTTGTTTTCCTCTTAAGTCTCCTCATAGCTTTTTTAATTCTTCTTGTCAGTCACAGTCCTCTTAAAAAAACCTCTTAAACATTTGAATGAAAAATGAACGAAGGCAAAAGTATTCATGAACAGATATGTATTAGATTGAATAACATTGCATGCAATCAGACTTATTTCCATGATTTTTAGAACCAGGGATTTTTCTACCTCCAGAGCCCATTTTTCACAGCAAATGCTGCGGAGGAACCTCTCTACATGATGGAGGATTCTAGACACGTTCTAAACCACACACAGTTGATGCAGGGCACTAGATCCTCACCTTCTTGGCATATATGCAAACCATTCCTAAGCTATGTTTGTCATTTTTTCCTCCAGTTCAGAAGAAACCTGCCATATGGTTCACAGAGCCAGTTTTCAAAAAATGCAAACCCAAAACCCTCCTGGCTACCCCACATTGTTCTACTTAATATTGGATCCTGGACAATGTGTATGAGCTGCCTAGGAAGATTTGCAGTAAATGTGGTGACTAGAGTTGATGTGAATGTGGGATTGCTTTTGACGAGGTACATTTTGTATTTGAGGAACATTTTGCAACGCAGTTTATGCAGTGATAAAGTGGTCTGTTCAAAGAGAAGCAACTGAAGTCTGACCAATGCCTGGATGTATACTATCTTGAGTTCCATGATGGAAGAAAAGTGTGAAGTAACTATAATTAAATTGACTACTTGGGTATTCCCAAGATCTTAGGTGTATCTAAATAGCTGTCTTGATGTTAGCCATCACAGCTTGCACTATTCTTGGTGGAAATGATTATCCTCCTTTCTGCCATCCTTTTAAATATTTGAAAATAATTGTCATCCCATGCCTAGCATCTTCCTTTTTTTCAGCATGGAAGAAATTCTTCAGCCCATCCTCTTGAATCCTTATCCTCAATATTTGCCCTTCTCAAATTCCCAAATGACGTTTTCACAATAGTGACTAAACCATTATCTTCATAAATAGTGCTATTGTCTCGCATTCCTTATATGCAAAAGCTCCTGTCTAGACTGCCTTCTGCACCAATGCTTTACACTGATCCTCCTTTCTAAACAATGTTGCTGTCTAGCCAGTTGTCCCTCTGCATTTCTCATATAATTTGATTAAATCTAAGTATTCAACTTCCCATGCCTGCTTCCTACAATCTCAGAGAAGCCTAATTTCCATTTTTACCTCTTGCCCACCAATCTCATACTTGCATTGACATATATGTCTGCAACAGTGGTAAATTTCAAACAGCAGGTTCTCAACGTGACAATCTCTGCTATCATGCCCTTAGGGAGAGTCCAGAAAGATCATATCAAACATTCTAGCAGTTTTCAAATCGTTCAGAAACAGGTAATCTTTATAGCTAATTCACCTTAGTTGTCAGTTCAAAAGCAAGTCACCCCAAAATATTGTGCATTACAACAGGGATAGATGGGCAACAATATATTGCTGCTGGAAAATCTTTTTCCCCAGCTACTGCAGTTACTGTCAAGACTGCAGCTTGAACTCACAAGGAACAGAGAGGTTTGAGCTGAGATGGCAAATCATAAAGCCTCTGTACTCTCACTGCAAGCCCTGACTCCACTACAACACCGGTCCACAATGCTGGTGCAGTGTTTTATTTGCTCTGTTATTCTGGCATGGGTACTTCAAGCTTAGGCTAGGATCTAAATGGCTCATTGGCTGTATGTATACACACTGGAGCTATCCTGTTTCTAGCCAAAATTTCACAGTACACTGGAGGCTGTTGTTGAGGTTTTCTGGAGTGTGGGAAGTAGCTTTCGTGAAAAGGAAGTAGCTTTGAAATCAGAAGCTTCCCCTTGTGTGGCTATCCCACAAGGAGCTATATGCTAGCAGAATAACTCTTACAGTGGGCTATTAATTACCAATTATACATGTTTTGTCTCAGTCTTTTTAAACCCATCTGTTAATTTTATACTGTTTTCTGTGTGCACTCCAAAGGCCTTTTGTGTTATGTCATAGCAATGCATGAACTCCTCTAAAAGGGAGGAGGCATGATTTTTAAAATGCTACTGGCTGGTTCAGTACATCATTTTGTCTGCCTTTATTAAATTAGCTTGACTAAAAAGGGATTTTCTTATTCTTTTATTTTATAATTTTACTATGGAGTGTTGATGAGCATGCATTTGGTAGCTATAAATGTATTAATATTCTGTACTTCATATATCTAGAAATTTTGTGAGTTTCAATTCAGTGTTCTGTTGTATATTAAATTAATGCTTAAAGCAGCCATGGGTTTCACCTCTGTATTAAGTGTTTGTGCACCTCATCATCACCAAAAATATTGAAAATTATAACTTTAAAATATTTATTTTAAAAGTATGCCATGTACAGGTATCAAGAAACCTTGTGCTTAAGTTCATTTTAGTGATTTTTAAAGCTATATTGCACATTTAAAAGATAAATACAACACAATTGTTTAAAAAAACTCACTTTGCACTAGGGTTGTCGGATACCTCCTACCTTTAAAAGTCATTTTATTTCCAGTCATAGCAATTTAAGGTCTTTCTTATATTTCAAAACATCACTGCTCCACTAGACTCCAAAGAACAAACATTGTAGCAGTATCTATATTTTTAAATTTTTATATGGCAATCCTAACATAGTTTCACTTTAATTAGGGACACCTTGTGGACACAGAATCCAGGTAATAGTTGCCATAGTTTGCTTGGCTGAAGCATTTGGCAAGCAGGAGGGATGTATCTATAGCTGGTGTAGTTTTTGAGCAGGTTTACAGTGTGTGTCACTTATTAGCACTATATAAAAAATGGTCTAGAATTTTTGGCCACATTTGCATGCATTGCTTCATGTTTCTGCTCACCTGAACTGTAGCTAGATATCAGGGCCAGATTCCACTGGGATGCTTACAGTCTTGCTGATTCTCTTGTGCTTGGCCAATTCCTGTCTACAAACAGTGCCCACCACTTGGAGAACAAAAGTTTAGGACTAATGGGGACAACCAGAAATTAGCAAAAATATTCATTTCTAGAACAGTGCTGGTCAATGGAACTCACATAATGGGGCTCCACCAGCCTGTCCCAGTAAAGAAACTCGTATTTCTGCTTATTTCACAGCTTTCGCTGGGAAATGTTAATTTATTGTTGCAGAAGTAGTGGATCCCACTTGTGTGGAATTGCTGGGATCCACAGTTGATACAAGAGAATCTATGGGGTGCAAGAAAATTGGTGGGGGCCTAAGTGTCCCATTGATTCTGCCCTGGTCTGTTCATATAACAAATTAAAACACTGGTACTAATTCTTGTTTGGAGTAATAGTTCACATGCTTTGTGGTTGGCTCTACAACAGAATTTGCTCTACCTGATCTTTAAAATGATGTCACCTGTCTCCATATTATCTCAGACCCTGGTTCTGCAAACCATTTATACAAAACCAACTGACTTAAAAGTGAATGCTTCTTTGTAAACCTGTGTAGGCTGTGGTCCTAAATATTGATCCAAGCTGAATGAAAAAGGTAAATACTGTGTTTCTGTTTGAAAATACTGTATAATTTATAATTATAAGCAACTGTAAAGCTGAGAAGAAACTAGAAGTTAGGAAACAGAGTTTTTCTGTTTCATTATAATTCCAGATATTGCAGATTTCCTCTAGCAATAACCCATGTCATATAGTTGTTTCCTCCTGGTTGTGTATGGCTAGGTATTGCAGGTAAAATTAAATGAGAGAGAACAGAAAGCTTGACTATACAATTATATTGTTCCAAATTATATTGTTGACTTCTAGTATAGCAAAAATCTTTTACAAATGCACACACACACAAACATTGGCTGGCTGTTGAACTGTATTTATCTGAGAAAAATTTGGTTATGTTTATACATCACATTATTCTTGATCACTACCATTCAGATCATTAATGTTTTAAAATCTACATACATGTGTGATTTGGTGCCTCGGTGGATGTACAATCATTCTCTGCCAACACTGGTGGCTTGGTAGTTGAGCTTTTTCAGTGAAGGGCAAGTGAAATCCTAATGCCAAGATAAGTATAAAGCTGCATTTTTTGAGAGCAGCTAGCTCACATAATACTAAATGTCTCATTAAAGGGCTATTGTAAGAATATGAAAAGATTGTAATTTTGGTTCTGCTATAGGTAACATCAAATTCAAAGTCATGAATATTTGTGATAAATCTAACCATAGCTACTGATGACAAGAGGAGATTACTATTTGAAACATCTACCAAGCTTGTGATTTCTAATGTAACAAACAAAAATAAAGTGTCCCTGAGAAAATGCATTAAGTCTTTTGAGTGCTCTGTTTAATAATAGATCCGGATAAAGTGCTCTGTGAGGCAGGCACTTGCCAAATCTTTCAAGGATTGAAATGGAACTTTATTCTTAAGGAATTACAAGTGGGATCTGCAACAAAATTTTACGGTCTAGCAGCCTCCCAACAAGAGTATTCCTTGTTCTTGGTTCTATCCATCCACTCCCTCTAGAAAGCATTTCACTATTCCTCACCATGATCCATGTTCTATTTTTTCTTTTTCAAATGTCACCACATTCTGTGAAATGCTCATTGGGCTGGGTTTCTATTTTTTATTTTTTGCAATAAATTGCAAAATTGTAGTTTTTATTTTTTGCAAAATTGTTTGTAGTTTCACAGATCTTTCCATTCCTTGGGGCATACTGCCATCCCCTCTTGTTTCTTAGTGGTCCCATTTTGACTCACATCCTGTTGGTACTTGCCCCCTTACTCGCTGCTGGAAGGAGTGATGCCCTTGATTCCAATCCCCTGTGCTCTGCTCGGTACTCCCCAAGTGATCTGTGTCAAGTTTCTGGTTGGGGGAGAGATCTTGAACTGGATTCTGGAGATTACACTGACAGCTTTGCTTTCTCCTCTTCATAGGTAGCTCCTTTTATTCCAGGATGTTATTCACAAGAATTAACTTCTTTTATAAAGAAACAAACCAAATTTACATAGACAACAAAATTATGGGACAAAGCTACACATTCAACTTGCCCCAGTAGATTTAATTTAAGTTTCCTTCTGTACAGGAGACATTTCATAAGAGAATTCTTTTGAGCAGACTGTGTGATTTCCCTACTATTTCAAGCCAGATAGTAAGGACAAAATGTGATTTTGCGGTTATTTATCTTTTTCAGGAGAAAATTGCATACTCTGTGTGCGGAAATATGCTGCAGCTGCTGACAACTATTTTTATTCTATAACAAGCAACTGCAAATACAAAATAAACTAAGTAAGTAGTACTAGTTCAATTTAAAAACCAAGTATGGCTAGTATTTGCATGTAAATGCTTAAGCATTTAAAATCTCAAAAAATCTCAAAAATAAACATCATTTCTACCTGGAAATGTGAAAAACAAAACCACACAAATGTTTTCCTGTCCAATATTCTTGATAAAGTGCTAATTTTATTTTTGTGGAAAATTCCCTAACCCCAGTGACTCAGTATGCCTATCAAGAAGTAGAAATTATATTTTGTTCGAAGTGTGGTATATCGTATCTCTGTACTATTTGATCCATAAATAGTACAGTTATTAACCTCTCGCACCTGGTTCATAATAACCTTGCAGTTTACTGTGATGCTCCAAACTTATGATGATGTACCTTAAGTGAAAACAGTTCCATGGGAGATTCAAATATATTACTAAAATGTAGTGGGAATGGGATATTGCATTGAATGGAATATTCTAATGTAGCAATGTCAGAGACAGCGCTCCAACCTCAAAGCTGTGAATTGGAGCTCCTCCCGCTTCCAGCCAATACATCACCACCACATCACCACCACAATCAATTATATTTCTATACCACCCAATAGCCAAAGTTCTCTGCAGGGTTTACAACAGTGCCTTACAAAAAGAACTGTGCTGAGTGCTCTGCAAGACTACAAGGTATCCTGACACTTCTCCAAATTCTTTATATCCTCCCAGGTGCTCCAGCTAAATGGGCAAAAACACCACATCGAGAGAAAATGCAGGTTGGGAGGATAGGGAAGCAGAGATCACCTTTGTTGCTTCTGCTGCTGTCCTACTGGTCTAGGATGCGCTTTCCAACGGAGACAAGTCCTTTTACTGCCATTGCCTTAAATGCCTCAATGGCATCTGCAAGCTGAGCAGAATATAAACTTAAGAAAATGGATGCTGCTTTTTCCAAAATGAGGGGAGGGGATGTTGAAATCATGCATAGTTTGGAATATGAAATTCCCAAACCGGGCAAAATAACTCTGTCCTAAATTATAAATAGATAGGTTCATAATTTTAGGTAAACTGCTTTGTGAGATTGTCTGAAACATCTAGACTTAAAAATAAACGTAAAATTGTATGTTATATATAGTAGGTTATAGGTTATAGTAGGTTATATTGTTTTATTCTCACATTTGCAATATCTGCAGTTTGCATTTGCAATATCTACACAATTCTGCTTTACCTAATTTTCAGTATGCTCATATGATTGGCTTTCTAACCTTTCTCTAGTTGCATCTGAGGTTATATTTCAAATAAAATTACTATCTTATGTGTCTTACAGAAATATCGTCATAAGGCAGCATCAATTTTACAAAACAATATAGCATATTTTGCAAAAATACTCCATAGTGCCATCTAGCAACATTTCATTTACACACTCTCCCAATGCCTTTCAACTAGGAGCACTTTCACATTGAATTTCAGAGATAAACAATGTGGCAATAAGGTAATATGCCACAGTTTTTCCCAGAACAAAAATTGGTATAGTTTGGGTAGCCCATATCTAATTTGACAGCTATCCTGTTTAGACTATCTAGTTTCATGGCATTAAAAAGCCAAAACACCTGCCTTATTATCATGAACAATTTTTAAAACAACAAAGATTTGAAGAGAACTGCATACTTAACCTGCATTGTGTGGGGACAGGACACATGGTGTCACATTTAACCAGACTATGCCTTTTCAAAAAGTGTTGGTGGCCTCCCGATCCAAATTCTCCATCCAAAGAAATGCCAAATTGTCCTAAGCTTAGGATCCTGTGTGTGTCTGAGCAGAGAGAAGTACTACAGTTCCCAGCATTAGGCTGACCATTTCCATCTAAACATGTGCACAAACATGCCCACAGTGACCAGCAGAGCCTGTGGTAATTCCATTCTCACAGTACAACTAGTTGCTAGGAATGTGGTCAAAGGACAGCATTCCTGAGGACCACAGGAAATCCCAGCTATTTAGCCTCATCCAAGGAACCAGCACCTGCAGGGAAGGCCTGTGTGGAGTTTGCCGTTTCCAGACCCACTTTCTACTTTCACGACTTACAAAATTAACTGTCCAGCTGTTTCTTTCTTTAATCTTCCAGAGTTTCTTTCCCTTTATGTTCCTCCACACACTCCAGTTCTTTATCTACTGCAGCCCATCTCTCTTGCCCTCCTAAATTATTTATCAACCAATCAACCTATTCCTCTTCACCTTTTCTGCCCGTATCTACCAGTCCTTTCAATAAAACATAGAACCAGCATAGTGTGACTTCATTGTTTAAGTGCTAGCTATACAATGGGTGATAAATGCTGGAAAGTGGTAATGGTGGCAGAATAGAATATTGCTAGATGAGATAAAACGGCCCTAGTGTATAGTGTGTAACTATCTTAAATAGGGAAGTGTTACACAGACTGAATTGTTAGGTCATGCTTGGTGCAAAAAGGTATGAGGTCGCACTAAGCTTGACTTGTTTAGCATTTAGCCTGTCTAAAGTCCTGAAGCTACACTCTGACTGGAAGTGAGAAACCTCACTTTTCCAGGGATCCTGTCCACATCCTTGAACTGTACAGGTTGAAAAGTATGCATTACCACAGCATACTAAATTGCTCACATCAGGCTATCAAACCATCTATCTCTTTTCTTGCAGGCCACAGCATAGCAGTCCTCTGATCACCCGCAACAGTTCAGCTGAGCAACTTTAAGATAACATGGTGGCAAAGATATACAATTTCTTTACTGCTTGCATTTCCACAGATTAAGGTTTCAAATGAAATTTATTTATTTATTTACTGCACATAGCTGAAGATCTCCAGATGGTTCACAACAGGATATAAAAACAATAAAATATAGTACATAAAACAACATTTTTTAAGTTTTTAAAAAATTAATTTAAAATCGCATTACAATAAAAAGACCCAGCCAAGAAGAAAGGAAAAAACCACCTGGATAAGCCCACCCATCAGGGAGATCTCTAAAGTCTTCCACAAAGAGGGCTGGTTTTAACCTAGCACCAAAAAAAATGGCAAATTTGGTGCCAGGTGGGCCACAGCAGGAAAGTTATTGCAAAGATGGTGGAGGGAACCATAGAAAAGTCCTCCCCCAGCTGCCAAGCCTCTTGAAGGGTTGATACTTGGAGGAGGCCTCAAAGGTTGAGCAAAGTGTCCAGGTAGATCAAGGTTGGGACAGGCACTCCAACAGGTATTGCTGTCCCAAGCTATGTAGGGATTTTTGGGTTAAGACCACCATCTTGAATTGGGCCCCAAAACATACAGGCAGCCAATGAAGGTTGGCCAGAATTGGTTTTACATGTTCAGACCTCCAGGTCCCAGTCATTAATCTAGCTGCTGCATTCTGCACCAGCTGCAGCTTCTAAACCATATTCAAGGACAGCCCCACAGACAGTGTGTTGCAGTATCTAATTTAGAGATTACCAAAGCATAGCTAAAACCAGGCTACCCCCTGTAGTGATCTGTAGCCAGGTAGTGATCTGTAGATTCCAAAGCACCACTGCTGCCAAGATCATCATCATCCTGCCTTACACAGAGCAGCAGATCCAAAGTGTGTTGTGCTGAATGTCCTGCTATCTACCTGCCATCTAGGGTAAAAAAAAGGTCCAACTCTCAATTACTCTGGGACCCCAAAACTGAGAGCATGCATTCTCTGGACCCAGCTGTTAACTAGAGAACCAAGGACTGCTAAGCGGTGTGTGTATATTTGGGGAGTTTTGTAGTATAACCTTGAGAATCATTTGACCAAAAGGTGGGATGTAAATTTCTACACGAACTCTGGTAAACTGTTTTGTCTGACTTGTTCTACACAAAAACACTTTTTTAAAAAGTTTTAATTTTCAGCTAGGAGGAAGTAGTTATAAAAACAAGTTAAATGGCTAGAGCTGAGAACAAAAGAGAAAAAGATATGGAATTCTGATTAAGACATTCTTGTACTTATTCCTAGAGCTGATGTTAGTAGCACTAATTACCTAGAAGTCGCCATTGAGAATGTCTTCAACACTTGCATGTGTGTCTGCTATAGGAACATGAGATATATCACATAC